TCGGACAGGTATGCTCTACGCAATTATTTTGATATAGGGAAACGATTTCAAAATTATTTGTTCTTCAGACCTTCCTCTTTAAAAGAAAAAAAGAATCGGCTGAATGCAAGGTGACCCACATTTGGTTTTTGACCACTGAAAATGTTTACAGTTCAACAATTTACTCCTGGGGCCATATTGAGATTCCAATATTCCTGGAACTGAACCATATAGAGCCTTTAAAGGGTCATGAAACCCCAGACTACTTTTTCTGAGATTTTAGCAGAGGTGTTTGTGTTGCTCATCATAGAAGGCAATGTTAGAATCCGATTGGATAAAACTGGTTAATTTTAAGCTTTTTTGCGCTATTTTCAACTTCCGGGTTTCACAACAGCATGTGTTGATTTGCTATGACAGACGCTTCAGACTGTAAGATGACATCGTGAACATTAACTGAGAAACGTTCATGGATCGAAGGAGAGAGTTTGTTTTTGAGAAAACAACTCTTTGCCGTCTCGTCATGCTGTCTGACTCACACCTAAAGCACGCGCACAAGCCGCATCTCGCACAGCGTCTCTTCTGCCGCACACACATTAGTGTCATTCATTTTTTTGTTTGTATGTTCACATTGATGTTAAGTTTACTGCTGGTCACTTTCAGAAGTTGAAGTGATTGTTTCTTTTTTCAAGAAAGAATGTGAAACAAGTAGGTTATATAATTTTCATTTTTAAACATTTTAAAATATAATTTAAATAGATTTTTCACACTTTAAGCAATATTGTATCGCATATTGAATATTGCATTTTTTAACAAGGTATCGCGTATCGCATTTTTTTTCAGTATCGCACAGCCCTAGCTCCTTGACACAACCCGTCAAAAGGCTTATATAAACCCAGCAGAATAAGCCTTAAAAGTTATCAGAGGTGCAACAGCGCGTTCATATATATGTTTTCGATGGAGAGTGCAAATGGCTGTGCATTTATTTGTGTTTTTAACTCGATGGGAGCGAAATTAAACTGTCTGATCCCGAAGCTGGGTGTTGTCTGTCTCCCCTCTTCCCCCTTCACTCGCAGCGCATCACGCCCACTTTTTTAGCGTTTTTTTTAACTGTGGAGAGAACTAACCAGTGCTGAAACAGGGGGTTTCATGACCATTTAAAATGAAGGTGCCAAAAGGAAAGTTTAAGAACCAAAATCTCAAATCATATTGAGATATCTTTTAATACTTTTTGAGTTACAGGCATGCAAACATTGGAGAAAAAACTTGAAAGGTGCTTTTTTCCCTTTTTTGAATGGTCACCACTGGCATATAATGCAACAAAGATGGCTAAAGTCAACAGATTTTACTAATAGACATACCAATCTCTGTGTGAAAATAATATAATGATGCTGCAATCTTTCTAAAGTCATTTTTACCCCCCTGGCTCTGAATCTCAGGTGAAAATTGTCAATTTGACCCAACCCCCCACACCCCATTGGATTACTCAGTAAATATACATCTATGACATTTAATATTTTGGCTTTCATGACTATTACATGTTTATCTTCCTTCAAAAAAAAATATTGACAAAATCACAAATTTGCGCCGGGGAGGTTTCTGAAATGTGGTTGATTAAACACGGAATGACCCTATTGTGGTGGTGTTGTTTAGGGCTGGAACAATAAATCGGTGCATCGCGAATCGAGAAATGATTCTATATCGATTCTGAGATTTTCCGAAGGCATCAAAATAATGTTTTTTTTAGCAACATCATATGACCCCTTTAACAGCAGATGGCACTGCGTGCTTTAGAAATAGCCATATTGTGCTTGCTTCCAGTTCCTTACAGGAGCCTAGAGAGCCATCTGCTGTTAAAAACTAAGCTCAGAATCGATTCGAGAGAATCACGATGCATTCTGATAATCTCAGAATCGATCCACGAATCGCGATGCATCATGTATTGTCCCAACCCACTGTTGCCCACAAAGCACGCCCAGTTACAAAAATCGGATGGCACGTGTACCATTCTGAAGACTAAATTTGCGTCACACGCACTGTACACGGACCCTTGCGTATGTGTAAAGACTGAAGTATACTTTGGCCTTAAGTTGTTCTGTTGCTTTCAACACCTTCTGATGTTCGTTTTTGTTTATTTGCTGCTGTAAGTAGTAGTAAAGAGGAAGAGCTGAGCGGTTCACGTGAAGCTACGGTGATCTGTTACGCCACATTAAAGAGCCTCAAAACCACATTTATTGTTTGAATTTTGTGATTAAATTAACCATTTGGAAGCTTAGACTCTGTTTGATATTAAAAGTAACAAAGAACAAAGCTTATTGCTGTTGACTAATTACTTTCAAAAGACAGTAACTAGTAATATATAATGTATTACATTTTGGAAGTAACTTGCCCAACTCTGGTTGGATTGCTGTTGGATTGTAGGTGCTACAAATAATGTTTGGTAAAGTTCACTCATCAACTGAAAACAGCACAGACTTAAAAGATTGTTCTTGAGATTTAAGAATCCCTATCAGTATTGATTAAAAACGAGAAATGGATATTGTTAATCCAGTACTAGCATCACAGCTGAAATGTTTGTCTGTTGTAGTTTATCCACGTTGTGTGAAATAAACACTTACACAGTTAAAACACACCATCAAGGAGAAACACTAATTAAATGTCACCGTTTCAGTCAATGATTTAGGCACTCCAAAATTATTTCAGCTGGAACTGAAAATGGCTGTTTCTGCTGAAAATGTTCAGTTGCCGAAATTTTGGTGCACCACTACATTTAATTATTCAGCTAATAACAAGATTTCAGTTCAAAACAAGATTTTTGAACACACTGATCTGTGTCTCCAGTGACCACGGTGCATCCAGCTCCAACGGGTCCCACCACAGCAGCTCCAGGGTGGAAACGCCCACATCTTACATGGAGGATGAAGAGGATGATGATGATGATGAGGACTTTGATGATGATGATGATGATGATTAGGACAGGTTTAGAGCTGCTGAACGGGATAGATTCAGAGTTTGAGCTCCTGAACCTGTTGCTGGGATCATATGCAGATTACTTTTGTTCCCATCAGTTCTTGTTGAAACTCCATATGGTGATCCTGCTGTAAGGATTCCCTCAAATGCTTCCCCATAATTCTTCAGCTCAGTCTATTATCTTCAGTAGCTTATGAGCAGATAAGCTCAATTGATCGTCTTTGTGCTGCTGCTCCTGCTGGCGGCTGTAACTTAAGGGCTACTTTTGAAGAAACTCCTGCAGTAAGAGTTACACAGGGACTTCTAACACTGTTTGCCGAGACTGAATTTTCTACCCTGTTTTGTTGTGATTTGTTCTCATAGGCAGCTATTTTTGATATTGGAGCTTTTTTGGACGTTTGTCGTGGCAGATGGAGCTCTGATCACTACAGCTCTTTGATCAAAGACGCTATCAACATGAGATCAACACGTCTGACAGATCAACAACTCCCAACAAATGTCTGGGCTGTTTTGTACAATGTATCAAATACTAAAGAAAATATAGTTTTCTTATTCATGTATAGAAATTAAACTGAAAGAATGGTTTATATGATTGTGTGGTTGTTTCTTGAGTCTGAGTGATGATGTGAATTGTGCTCACAGTGGAATTGTGGGAGATTTCATTAGCAAAATATCAAACCTGCAAGACCCTCCTTATTTAATATATTGAGAAAATAAAATGAAAGTTAAATTGCAAACAATATGATTCATATAGTCCAGTAATAGTGTTTTCATGTGCAATAACACCAAATTTGATCTCTTATCTGTAATCTGGTTAAGTAATCTCAGAAGCAAGATGACTTTCCTTCATAAGGTCAATGTTCTCATAATGTTCTTTTTTATTTACTTTTTCCATCACTGATCACCTTAAGCATATGGTGAAAATTAAAATTAATTTACAGTTAATGTCCGTTTAATCCTTAAGGGAAGAGAAATATTTGTCTTCATAATCTTTAATCTGAATGTAATAATTTGCTCCTCTGAAAAACATCTGCATATAAAGAATTTTTAACATTGAATCATTTAATTGTGGATAAAACCCAATCATGCCCACATTTTATTTTTCTCATTGAATATTTACAGCATTAGTGTAATTTCTCAGGCAAAAAAGGTTCATTGCCTATTGTCAATAGTGTAGTGATGCATGATGACGTACCGCTCACACAGAAGTCACTGCAAACCAAGCAGTTTTCTGCTGGTTATTGTGGCGAATTCATGTGACCAACTTGAACCTGTTGCAAAATCTGCATGTGCAAATCCTTTGTCCCTTATGCAAAATTCCCAAAAATGTGGTTTCCTATTGATATGACTGGATTTTGCCCTTGAAAATTCACTGAACAATGGTAAACGTGACTGCATCTTAAGGCACAAAGTTTCTTTCCAAAACCTTTACTCTCTTTGATCCTCTGTGATGGAATAGTGCAGTTGTACAGATTACATTGCTCCTGGAGTGGTCAAGCTGGTCTACTGGCTCAAACCAGGCTAACCAACTTGTAGTTCAGCTTATCAACCATATTGACCAGCTAATGGCAATAATTACCAGCTGGGATTTTGAAGCAGGATATGAGCCTCTTTTGTAATTCAGAATACTGTTGATCATCTTCATCCAGCTTTTCTTGTTTGATGTGTTGGAAGGCAATCACAACATCCTTTTGATACGGCCAAATAAAAAGTGTTATTAGTCATAATTCTGCAATATTTTCCATGATTCATAGATTTATTACCCTGGCGATGTTAATAAGTCTTTGCAGTTGAGTGTCTACATGAGTATCTGAATGAAAATAATGATCCAAGTGGTTCATACTGTATGTATTTAGTCACTCATGTTCTGCAGAACCTCTATGACTAGATGTGCTTGAATCATATGTTGAAGTAATTCTGAACTCTGAATTATATGATGTTTGGAGTGTCATTGTGTTGGTGAGTGATGTTCTCGCTCCATCAGTGAGAGGTGTTAACCTGAGGAAGGTATTATAGAGTTAGAGGATAAAGCCTTATGAAAGATGTTGAGTCAGGTGGATCTGTCTGTGTGTGTTACAAGGCTTATCGTTCACTTTGCCATCAGACTCAAGACGTTGTGCTGCTGGATCGATCGGTCACTGTCCGTTCCTCTGCATCTGGACCCCCAGGGTCTCATGATCTAATCCCACACATCTCCAGTGAGGACCGTGGCCTCTCTAGTCTCGTCCAGTCTCACGGCACTGAGCTTCAATGCTCTCGCTGTGACCCTTCAGCTGCCAGTCTTGTATTGTTCTCCCTCCGTCAGTCCACGTTCAGCTTCTTCACCTTGCCATGGACATCGGTGGCCTGACTACGGTGGTGGCCAACTCGGCGTACATCTCGGCCCGTGGCAGTTTCGATGGCACGGCCAACCCGGCGGCCAACCGAGACAAGAAGTACCACGCCAAACTCAAGCTGCCCCACATCACTGTGTGTGAAGATCTGAGGGAAACTCTGGATCTGCAGTTTAAGAGCATTTGTGTGGAGCAGCCCATCGGCAAACGGCTGTTTCAAGAGTACCTGGAAATCACCAATGAGTACAAGGGACCGTGTCGCCTCTGGAAGGACATTGAGGCATACGACACCGCCGAGGATAAAGATCGGGCTCAGAAAGCAGCCAAAATCCTCCAGCGTTACATGGAGCCTTCTGCCAAGCTCTTCTGCCCGTTTTTACCCGAGAATGACATCACCAAGGTGAAAGAACGGCACGGGGAGGCAGCAGATGACCTGTTTGTGGAGATCCTGGCCAGTGTGTTTGACTTCCTCAAAGAGGTTCCCTTCACGTTCTATCTAGAGACCATGTACTTGAAACGCTTCTTGCAGTGGAAGTGGCTGGAGATGCAGCCGGTAGCCGAGGACTGGTTCTTGGACTTCCGTGTTCTGGGTAAGGGTGGATTCGGAGAGGTGTCCGCCTGTCAGATGAGGGCCACAGGGAAGCTGTACGCCTGCAAGAAGCTCAACAAGAAGAGGCTGAAGAAGAGGAAAGGCTATGAGGTATGAAAGCAGCTCGTTGCCTTTGGTTGAGATGAATTATGAGGGTCTTTCTTGGGAAAAGGTGCCATTGTCATCCAAAGGACTTACTACTGATAGAATGAACAGAACACTGTTCAAATTATTGGAAATCTAAAGTTAATGAGGTTGAAATAGGTTTAGTGAGGATAAATGACTATTGGTGCCCTGCTACTTTGGGCCTGAAATGGATAAATATTATGTCTAGAAAGTTTAGCAGTGACCTTCACAAAACTGTACCGATGAAATAATGACCTGAGGTCAATCACACCCACACTATGAATCATGGCAATTCTTTAGAATGATTGTTTTATTATTGCTTGTTTTCCAGCTACTGTCAGTGTCTTTGGCCTGTAGTGATTGATTTAGAGCAAAACCATTTGAGCTGCTTTTCCCACAAAGTTTCTGATCTTCACCAAATTTGGCACTGATAGTCTTTAGAACCTTTCTGATACAATAAATTACACAGATAATTGATAATGTAATATTATGGTGTAATATTAAGGTTATATTAAGATACTATTCAAAAGCATGTGTTTTACAACTAGTGAATTCACCTGGGCGATCGCTTGTAAAAAATAAAATCAAAACCAAACATTTTTAGGCAAAAATGGCACCTTTTCCTGATTTTTTTATGGGTCAAGGTGTGTTTTTGAGAAGATATCAGGTTAATGGATATGTATTACTAGAATGATAATGGTAATGCTTAGATAACAGGATGTGGATCCTGATTGACATGTTGGTTTTGTGCGATTAAGCAGCTCAGACGTGACATTGATGATGAAGGTGAAGGCTTTACTGCAGGTAATATGCTTTACTAGAGCTTCACTCCTACAAAACAGTCCTGTTTTAGATCCCAACGAATGAAATGTCTAAACATTCAGAATTAGTTTGTGCTTTTATCAGTTTTGGACTGGTAACTGTTTCTGTTGGAATAAATTCTAAAAAACCGCCTGTGATCATAAATCTCTGGCATCATGTTCATAAATCAAAACATCATGTTCCTCATTCATTCTTCATCAGTATTGATCAGTTTGCATGTGTTTAAATGTCTGACTCTGACGTGTCCATAAACATCAGTCAGTTGAGTGAACAGTGCTGTGAACCAGAGGCAGTATTAGAGCTGATGAAACTTTAGCGCTTTGGCCTTCAGCTCATTAGGAAATGCAAGTCCAACACATTTAATTATGGAACAGATTTGTTGTGGAAATCCTGGGCAGGAAGAACCCTGGAGATGATACTGACTGTACCTGTGTCCATGTGTAAATGATGAACACTGTCCATCAGATGATTCATGTTAATAATTACCTCATTTATACTTAAAAGCTTGAAAACAATGTTTACAGACAAAGTACTGTGCTGCTTGTGAACATTCACTCAAGCATCATTAATGGCGTGTTTCTTCTGTTAATCATTGGTTGAGAAACACAAAACGGCGAAATGCATCCTGCATAGTCCATAATGCGTAAAATAAAACTAGTGCACTGGTTCACATGCAAATGATGTCATATACAAATAGCATCTGCAGAACATGTGTTAGTATACTGAGGCTGTTAAAATGCATTATATTTGTTTTACTCCTTTTGAATGTATGCATTAATCTGTAAAAATATGCTTTTATGTACTGTGGGGTCCAAATGTTAAATTATCCAAATGCATATTTTTTTAAATTAAATTTTCCTTCTAAATGATATTAACAACAATTTGACTGAAAAACCTGAAGATTATCCTTCACACTAATGTTGTTCTGTTCTCACAGGGTGCCATGGTGGAGAAACGGATCCTGGCTCGAGTTCACAGTAGATTCATTGTGTCACTGGCTTACGCCTTCCAGACCAAAACAGAACTGTGTCTGGTGATGACCATCATGAACGGAGGAGACCTCAGGTATGGATCATGACAATTCTTTAGAATGACTATGTTGTTATTGCTTGTTTTCCATCTAGATGTTTTTCTGGGCATCTTTGGCCTTTAGTGATTGAATTAGATCAAAACCATTTGAGCTGCATTTCCCACAAAGTTTGTCTGATCTTCACCAAATTTGGTACAGATAGTCTTTAGAACCTTTCTGATCAAATTAATCACATAGGTATTTGATATTCGAAAGCATGTGTTTTGAACCTAATGAATTCACCAGTGGCCTGTGGCTCGAAGCGAGATGAACAAACGGAGTAAGTTTTGAGTTGACAAAACCTGACAAATCCAACCCGGTTTAGATCAGGATCAGCTGTTGCACAACGCTCGGTATAAACGTTCTCTGTCAACTCAGGTTGGATCCAGAGTTTGTGAGGCGCGTGCACCTGAAAGTGTGATACATGCGGCAAACAGCCAATCACACGGAGCATGGAAAGCATCAGTTTGATTGACTTCTCATGAGAGTCAGCGCAATTCACTTCTCTGTTGAAGATGAAGAGATTGTTATGAATTGAAACACATTTACAAGGCAGGAATAAACACTGCTGGGCAGCTACTGACTATATCAATGCAAGTGAATCAACTGAATTGAAATAATTTATATTACAAGGAGCTCAAAAGAAAACAAGCTTCATCAGTTTAAAAAGCTTTATACACTGAACCTTGTATTTACATGTACAGTATATAGTTATAGGCTATGAATTTAAATGCTAAGTTTAATATTAATTGTTAACTCATATAATTAACTATATGAATATATTGTTTTAATTATACATAATTAAAATCTATAAAATATAAATATAATAAACAATTAGCAGCAAAAGATTTGTCTCCAAAATTGTATCACTATAAACTTTCATTTGTAGTGAGAGATAAAGGGGGGTGACTTTATTGCGTCAGATATGTGTTACTTTGCTCAGAGCTGATTGGTCCAGCTTTGGTTTCAAAGCTAACTCAGAATAAAACCTGCTCGGGAGCAGGGTAGCCGCATAGCATAAGTTGCCATGGTGACGAAACCCGCTCAAAACCAACCCACCTTTTTGAGGCCGAAAAAACTCAGAGTTTGCTCAAACTAAACGCAAACTCACCTAGGTAAAAACTGAAACCAGCTTCGTGCTAAAGGCCACTGGGCAAGTGCTTATATCACACCTGTGCTTTCAGCTGTTCAGATGAAATCTAGAATGTGATCCTGAGCCCAAGCGCTCAGAGTTGTAGTTTTGTGACTATGCCACCTACTGGTTAAATGTTAAGGTTAAATCCCCTCGTAACCTTTGACCCAGTAGGCCTGAAATGGCTCTGATGTACTGCATTTTGATGATGCCGTTGCCCTGCTTCGCCTGTGATTGCTGATTTTTTTATTTTTAATGTAATTATTTAATGTAATTATTTTTTCATGGCTGTTTGTAAACATAATAAAGAGTAGATATCTTTTTGTCACAGGTACCACATCTATAATGTGGATGAGAATAACCCAGGGTTCTCTGAAGCCAGAGCGTGTTACTATGCTGCTCAGATCATTCAAGGCCTAGAGCATCTACACCAGAAGAGAATCATCTACAGAGACCTGAAACCAGAAAACGTTCTGCTAGATAATGAAGGTGAAGATGTTAAAATGCACCACTCCTCAACATACACACAAATCTGCGGGGGTTAAGAGCCATTTCAGTCATGCTGGTGTTTTCAGGTCATGTTCGTATCTCTGATCTTGGCTTGGCTGTGGAGCTTGCAGATGACCAGCTCAAAACCAACGGCTACGCTGGAACTCCAGGTGACAACCTCCATCATTAAGTTCACTATAGTTTGTGATCAAAACTCACATGCCAAGAATCATATCTTGATGCTCATATATGTTCATATAAACACCATAATGTTAAACAAAAGCAGGATGACACTGGGTCATGAGAGCTGATGCTTTAAGGTTTATTCATAAAGATGTTCACCTCACCTCACCTCACCAGTGTTTGTGTGTTGTTTTCAGGGTTCATGGCCCCAGAGCTGCTGAAGGGTGAAGAATACGATTACTCAGTAGATTACTTCACTCTCGGAGTCACACTGTATGAGTTCATTGCGGCCAAAGGACCCTTCAGGACTCGAGGAGAAAAGGTGATATTCAACATTCATTCTTCAGAGGATCTTTATTAGATTCACATTTATGTTTTCAGCAGATGCTTTTTATCCAAAGTGACTCGCACAGAACATGCTTTTGCTTGGAATGGGGGGAAAATGCAAGGCCTTGTGACACGTTTTTTAAAAGCTGAACAAATTTTAACTTGAGCACGCCATGTCATGCTCTTCAGATGCAAACTAACCCTACTAACATACACTATACACATGATGTTTCGTAGTAAACCTGCAGATGCATATGATGTAGTAGAGTAATATTCATTTATTTAATTTTTAGCAAATAATATTTACTGAACATACCAAATGTAGGTTTCGTCTTGTTTTAGTGCATCCCATAGAAATGAATGGAAGAACATCTGGTACACTTTATATTGAGTGTCTGAACATTTACCATGTCATATTTGGGCTCTCAAACTACAGCTACATCTAGCTTCACCCACAAGATTCATATATATTATTAGGTGTTAACCTTTGAACCAAATGACCAAGAAACTACACTTCTTCCTGTTTCTATCCAACTAGATTTTCCCACATTTGGGATTTTGTTAAAAACATTCTTTTTATCCTAGAGCTTGAATCATTGGTCAGATGGTCAGATTATGCTGGCCAAAATGTACTGAAGTGGTTTCGATACACCTAATCATTGTAAATGTGAATGAAATGAACAGCAGGACATCAGGTGAGGATGTTTCGTGCTGGTAGCATTGTTTGTGCTTATTGCATTATTACACTTAAGTCCTGATTATGATTCTCATTAAATGCACAAACTGATAAAATATGCTTTGGCTTTAAAGGTGACATATCATGAAAATCTGACTTTTCCAGAGAACCAAAACAGATGTTTTTAGGAGGTCCGTGTTTCTGCTTCCACTCAAAATAGGCATTTTCAAAATGATATTATAAATGATCTGTGGAGTATTTTGAGCTGAAACTTCACAGACACATTCTGGGGACACCAGAGACTTATATTACATATTGTAAAAAGGGGCATAATATGTCTCCTTTAAAGTGTCAATGCAACAAATGTTGCTTTGAATAAAAGTGTCTGCCGAATGCTTAAACTTAAACTTGAATGTAAATTGCCCTAACATTTGCATTATCGTTGTTGTAATCGTTTAATGACAGCACCACCTACTGGCTGAATGTGTCAGGTTAGGATTAAAGGTTTAAAGAGATTGTTCACCCAAAAATGAAAATTCTGGCATCATTTTCTCACCCTCATGTTGTTCTAAACTTGTATGAGTTTCTTTCTTCTGTTGAACACAAAAGAAGATATTCTGAAGAATATGTGTAACCAAACAGTTGTTGGTCCCCATTGACTTTCATAGTATGGGAAAATACAAAAATATGTCAAAAAATACAATAGAAATCGATGGGGACCATCAACTGCTTGGTTACTCTTCAAAACATATTTTGTGTTTAGCAGAAGAAAGAAACTCATATAGGTTTGGAACAATTTGGGGTGAGTAAATGATTACAGAATTTTCATTTTTGATTGAACTATCCCTTTAAAGTTGGAAACTGACAGTTCTGTTGTCCTTACAAAAACACTAGTATATGTGCCGCTGTTATCCTTGGCTCTATCATTTTGATTCTTTGTGTAACAAACGTTGTGCTGTTCAGGTGGAGAATAAAGAAGTTAAGAAGCGAATCCTGAACGACCCGGTGACGTACCCAGAAAACTTCAGTGAGAATGCCAAGTCCATCTGTGAGGGTCTTCTGGCTAAAGAGGTGGACAAGAGACTGGGCTTCAAGAACGGCATGTGTGATGAGCTACGCGCACATCCGTTCTTCAGCGAAATCAACTGGAGGAAACTGGACGCAGGTGTAAAGCTGATGATAGTTTAGCGCAAACTCTTCCTCTGTGAGCAGCATGATTAAATTGTGGATTTGATTTACCTTTACACTTCTGTTCAAAAGTTTGGGGTCATTCTCAAGTCTGTCCAGCTCACCAAGTCTGCATATATTTGAGAGTAATTTTGTCAAATATTATTACAATTTAAATATTATTAGAATTTAAAATAAGTGTTTTCTGTGTGAATATATTGTAAAATGTAATTTATTCCTGTGATCAAAGCTGAGTTTTCATGCATTTTATTTTTCAGGATTCTTTGATGAATTAAAAAAAAATCATTTTGTAAATCTTTTATAACATTATAAATGTCTTTATCGTCACTTTAAATCAATTTAATGCATCCTTGATGAATAAAAGTATTAGCTTCTTATATTCCCCACACTTTTGAATCACAATTAATCTAAAAATACTAAATGTGATACTAAAAAACTAATGCTGAAAAATTCAGCTTTGATCACAGGAGTAAATTATATTTGAAAATATATTCACATAGAAAATAGCTATTTTAAATTCTAGTAATATTAAAATATATTGCTGTTTTTACTGTATTTTTGATCAAATAAATGCAGCCTTGGTTGTCTTCTAAGTGCACTAACACCACACTGGTGCCCTACAGGGATTCTGCTGCCTCCTTTCGTACCGGATTCCAAGACAGTCTATGCCAAGAATCTGGATGACGTGGGCGCTTTCTCCACTGTGAAGGGGGTCTGCCTGGAGGACGATGACAAGGAGTTCTTTGATGAGTTTGCGTCAGGAAACATCTCCATACCCTGGCAGGAGGAGATGCTCGAGACGGGCATCTACGGTGAGCTGAACGTGTGGGGTCCAAACGGCACTGTGCCCAACGACCTGCGCCGAGAGTCCATCCTGGAGCAGCCACCCAAATCCTCCACCTGTAGCGTTTCATAATCACACCAACACTGAACTGTCAAATAACAACATAGATTTGCTTCCGCTATTTTAAACAGGTTGACATTTATTCTAAGAGCTCACGGTGAAGGTTGAGTATTTGTGTTAGTGATTATTGATCTTATTGGCATTATTGAACTGTAAACTGAGTTCAAACACTCTGTGAGTTTACATGCACCATTCTGCTCAAGCATGATTAGCATTTAGGCTTTTAAACGGAACCGAATGAGAAAGAATATCTAAGAATGAGGAAAGAATATAGAGCGAAATGCTTTGCAGTCATTCTTTTGATATCCATAAAGCTCAGTAAGTTATAACATCTGTAAGTAAAATGAACCCTTGTGTTGGGTTCCGGTTGTTTTTCCCAAAAATGTTATCACATTGTATTAAAACTTTCTGAGTTTATGCACACAGAGTATGACAACTTCCCAAAAAATAATTTTTGCAATTTTTTAGGATTTTCCCCCCACCTCTGTTACACTTGTCAAAAATGGCCAGCCTACAAAAATTGCTTGTAAATCTGTCATTATGCTGTTTTTTTTTACCAAATGGACTTAGATTCAATCTTTCTGTCAGCTTTCTTTCAATTAGCACAAGTTTTGAATTTCTTTTGAAGTTCTGGTTGATCGTAGGCCTCACTGATCTGAGCTCATTCATCTTAGTTTTTGAGAGTATATTGCCAAAATTATCCATAAATTATGCTTTTTTCCCACTCAAAATTGAATATTGTCCACAAATAATGTTTTTTTTTTTTCAGTCATAAACTGCAGGTGCATAAGCTCAGATCAATGAGGCCTACGATCAGTCAGTTCCAGAAACACAAAACCTGTCCTAATTGAAAGAAAACAAGTTGACAAAAAGGATTGAATCCAATATTTGGTGATAATGTAGCATAATGAGAGATTTACAAGCAAAAGGCTGCACATTTTTGACAGGAACACCAATATAGGTATAGGATTTTCAGCAGCACAAGGGTGAAATAAATATTAGATACTATTAATAATCACATTGTTCTCTGATCTGAATGTCAAATTGGACAAATATCTGTGTATGTGTAAACTCAAGTTCAAAAACAAGTTCAGGATTACAAATGCTTTGAATACAGACTTTAGTTTCAACAACTGCATACTGTCTGAATGAATAATTCAGTGCATTTCTCATTTTTATTTAATTTATTTTGAACCCTTTTTATCCTGAATTCAATGTTTTTGTCTTTGACTGGTCTTAGTGATTTATTTTAATTGCTTTAATTAATGCCTTTATTGATTGTGATAACCCACCGGTGTTTTATGAGCCTGTCTGAGGTCGTTCACAGTGCGAGTGAATAATGTTGTCTGAGGTCGAGCGATCGGGTAACGGGTTAGAGAATAGTCAGGTGCTGTTGACTAGTCCTGCCGTTGTTGCCATAAACACAAAGACGCTTCTGTGCATTAATCGCTTTTTAAGTGCCCTAGCAAAGATACAGGTAGCTGTACTTTTTGGAAACAATTTCTATTCATGTAAAAAGCTGTAAATGTCTTTAGGTTGCATTGATTATTGAGGTCCAAATCATCCTTTTTAATAATGTGATAGTTGTCATAATTATGATTTCAAATAAATGTTTTGCCATAAATACACCTCAACTCTGGGTCTCTGTGTGTTTTGAGAAAAATAAAGAAGGCACACCGCTGATTTAAAGCAGGAATTCTTGTTATATTGGAGTTTAGTCCATCAGCCTGGGGCTAGTTGTCACACTTTTTACTCCAGTGAATATTTCTCTAGGTGGGTTTTTATTAACGAAAGTCAGTTTTTGGATAGACCCAGTTAAAACCTATTTATTGACACTGATTTGAGAAGAATACATGTTTTAAACATGAAACACTAGCTAAAATACTGTTTTTAAAATGTATTATATATTTTAAACTATTCTGAAACCCAAAACAATTGAAGAAACAACAAAAATGGAAAAGGTAACATAAAACATAATTAATGAATAGTATAAAATTACAACATATAAACTATTGTAACAACAAAAACAGAAAACTTAATGGGTTAGTTCACTTCCAGAATGACAATTCTGTCATCATTTACTCACCCTCCACTTTTTCCAAACCTGTATGAGTTTCTTTCTTCTGTTGAACATAGGGCTGTTCGATTCCGAAATTTTTGGAATCTTATTTGTAAAAAAAAAAAAAAAAATGACGATACATAAATTGTAATTTTGTCTGCTTTGCCCATGAAATTAGTCATAGCCCACAGCTCAGCAGGGACATGCGTTTATCGCATGAATTGAACAAGACATGACGTGTCTAATAAATGTGCACAGCTCAGCTGAATGATGAAGTTTACTTTGACTGTAGTAGGCCTATGCTTTGCACAAAATTAACAAGCTGTAACTTACACTGAAACAAAATAACCAGAACATTAACAATAACTGATAGAGCTCGTGGTATATCTGTCAATCAGATGCGCTCTCGGCCACTGATCTATGCTCGGGACGTTTTCTTTTATAATTATCATTGGCTGATAGAAATGTTTTTAAAAAAAGCAGTCGTGCTCAACCGCCTGTACTTTCCGATAAATATGATGATCCGTATCCAAAAATTTCCTGTTAAAGTCCTAAACGAACCCAAGCGCTCCTCGCTGAACAAACAACTCAAAATGGCCCCAAAATGGTGGACAAGCCAGTTCCACCGTAAAATAACCTCTGAATCGTTTTTTGAACTGGTTCATTAAAACTATCCGATTCAGGAAACGAATCAGAATTCTAATCACTTTTAGCGAGCATGAGGGAGGCGAATGGTAATAAAAATATTAAAATAAAAATAATCTTTTATCTCACAACTCTCGTAATTACGTAATTTTAGCGAGCATGAGGGAGATGAATGGTGCTTCTCAAACGGAAGGCTGCATCCTAAAATTTCAGATGATCTCAGTACGGACTAGTTTTCTTTCAGTTTATTTTCGTGAATTTAAAGGGGTCATATGATGCGATTTCTGACTTCCATAGTAGGGAAAAAAATACTATGGAAGTCAATGGTGCCCATCAACTGTCAGACATTTTATTTTGATTGAGCCAAGGATTCCAATGATATAAGACACTTGAGTCTACGATAAACGGTCAAGAGTTATGAGCAGTTTCGCGTTTGTGATCGCTGTAGCGCCCCCGATAGGCCGATTGGGGCGAGTATTTCGATCCGAGTATGGGTGAAGACTACTAACGTTACGGTCTGACCAAGTTTCAGCTCTCTAGTCTAGACCTTACGGTTTGGGCTGCACGATCAGTTTTAGGGAAGAAGAACAATAATAATAAAAATATTCACAATTACAATAGGGTTTCAGCACTACGTACTTGAACCCCTAATTAATGAATTGTATAATATTACAACATATAAACAATGACACAGCTTTCGCCGAAGTGACAATTTCTCAAAAGTAATATTCATGAGGCGTCTTCCACGTACATGCATTGCATATTCAATGTGTTCTCGTTTAAAATCGTGTAGGCGGGGTCGGGGAGTCTCTCTACTTTCCACCGGAAACTCGACGGAAATGGGTGACCGTTGATGCGCGCATGCGCACAGATCGCTGTCCAATGGGAAATGCGGTTGAAATTTTAAATCTCACTGAGCGCTAAGTCAGTTAGTTTCAGTCAGTTTAGCGTTGATGGAGTGAAAATGACGGAGGAATCCGCAGTAAAAGTGTGCGTTAGAGTCAGACCTCTTATTAAAAGGTAAGAAAAGCTTAATATTTAGAGCGTGGAGCTAAATGTAACATAAAACAGCCCTACGTTATTTGCTGATAGAATCTTAGTGGCGGAGCGAACAGATGCATAACTTATAGAAAAGGTTGTTTTTATTATATTTCGGAAGTAAACCTATTCTAAGAACAGAATGTACTTAAGTGTGCAAAGGTAATTTTAAGCTAAAAAAAAGTCTTAAGAGATTTTGAAAAAGTTTATTAGTGAAGGAATGACGAGTTATCTAATGACATCCTCTTAAATCAATACAAAAGTCTGTTTGTTATATTTCTGAAGTAAACCTATTTTAAAAACAGAATAGAAACAGTAAAATGTTATAATATTATGATAGTCAATAATAATATCTTCATATTTTGCTGGTTTACCAGGTTTTAGAATTACTGACAAGTCTGTCAGTCACCATACAGCTCATTTATTACATTAACCCTCATAATGCATTCAAAATATGTATAACGTTACGATTTTCGGGTCCGTTTGGACCCAGTCGTTATTTTATAAAACCGTCATAAATGAATAATTCATATTTTTTAACTAAACCCATATTGTGTCTGATCAGCAACTTCTCATTAGTGCAGTAGTGTGTAAATTTGAATGTAACGTTATATATATGTCTGTGCATGTATATACATCTAAATTTATGAATCCTATTTATTTCTAACAAAACAAAAAATATTACTCTTAAAAGTTCTGAAACTAAATAAATTATTTTTACTTGCATAAACTTTCAGTTTGAAAACTATGTGGTTTTTAGAATTTTTTATGCATCTCTTCCTGGTCAAAACAGACCTGAGTTCATTATGATGGTTAATGCTCTGTTTAACGTTGATTCTCAGACTCAACAATAATCTAATGATGATACTGATGATTTAAGGGAGGAGTCTGAAAGCCCAGAGCCAGTGCAGCTCTACTGGAGAGCCGACAAACAGGCCATCCATCAGCTGGATGATGATGGAGCTCAAACTAAGAGCTACAGCTTCGGTGAGTTGAACATCAGCGGATCTTCACTGACCAGTAGAGCCGTGCTTTATGTTCTGACCTTCATGTGTTTCAGACCGTGTGTTCAGTGCTGAAGAGACCACTGCTCAGCTCTACCAGGACATTGCAAAGCCACTGGTCGTGTCAGCAGTTGAAGGCTATAACGGTGAGTCCAGAAATCAGAGTAATTACAATTTATTCTGAAAGGTACTTTATGGATCCTTCGAAAAGCATGCTTAGTGCAATGTCAGGCAAACAAGTCAACAAAACCGTACATGTTGCAATTAGGCCTGGGCGATAAAACTGTATCGATATTTATCGACGGTACACCTTCTTCGATAACGATAGAAAAAATGTTTGATATAGGCAGGTGCTATGAGTGACGCAGACAGCACACACGAACACATGCAGAAATGAGTGCTGTGCCTGCCTGTGATGAGGAGATTGTGAATAAAGAATGAATATTAGTCGAATTTAAAATAAACATTTGCATTTTAATGTTAGGTGTGCATCAGGGAGCGTCATTAGTGGAGCGCGAGATGCGATAATAATGATGTAAGTGACATTCATTTTAATGTTTTGTTAGTCTAGCCCACGAGACGCGCCACTGCTGCGTTATTCA